GATACAACACGCATGCCACACGTAAGTTCCAGTCTCGTATCGTGGAAACAATGCGCATGCCGCAGCTGGTTGGGGGATTCATCCTTGTAGTTTCACGCCAGAAGAGGATTTGCTTGACCAGTTTAGTCGGCACAAGCGATGTTCATTCGCCTATTAATCCAATTATAACTTGATGCACGAGCGAGTGGATTACCGAGGTCGGGGGTTGCGGTGGCTCCGCCGGCATTCGCCGTTATCTGCTTCCCTGATAGCCGTTATCCGCAACGCGCTAAGCTGCGCTATTTGATCGCAAACTTGCAACATTCAGAGAAGTGTCTTCACTGTGAGGTGTTTCTTGGCGCAGAGAAGTGCTCGCTCGTGCACCTTAGTGTGTGTACCAGGTAACTATATATATCCATGTCAAGTGTATGGCGACTGGAAACACTTCCGAACTGCACCATCGTACACGTAAGTATCTCAAATACTTCAATGGAGAAAACGCAGGTGCACTTTTCAGTTAAATTTTTTATAGACGAAATAAAAGAAAAACATTATTGTATTCACCTGCTGAATTATCATAATTTCAGCATTGATTTCGCAACCCAATTGTTCGCCTGATATTTATAAAAACGCGTACGCCTGTCACTCAGGAGTATCACGAAGCAGGATCACGTTCCTTTTAGGCATGCCATGAACGTGCAGCGCTTTTACATCAACAATAAACCGGGAGCTCAATTTTCTGTTGACGAGACGCGCTCTTTAGGCGCCTTGCCGTCGCAGTTGCATCGCATCCAGGGTACTTTTCGTGTCGGGATATTGTATAAAGGCGCTTTTTAGGCGGGTTTCCCGGAAACTCATCGTGCCAGGATATTGAATGTAGGGGCTGTTGGGGCCCTATATGTTGTTCCAGGATACCAAGTGCCGGGATATTGTACACAGGCGCTGTTAAGGAAGGTATCCAGGATACTTATCGTGTCGGTATATTGTATATTGGGGCTGTTGGGGCTCGGATGATACTTTAGTTTAGGGATGTTATCTGGACCTGAAAATCTATCGAATTATCGAGGATTGCAAAGCACATTAAAACTTTGGGAAAATTTGTAGACTAAGAATTAGAATTTAGTTTTTCAGTGAAGGAAAATGACATTGGTTCATGAACTTAATTCGAAAGACAAAATTTTTCCAGATCTCGAAACAAGAATCTACCACGTAGATTCTAACAGGTTGCATGGTCTATGAAAAAACATGGATTTAAACTTGTATTTTTCTCGTTAGCATTCATTCGCTTTATTATTTTACCAGCGATTAGGAAAAACAGGTTTGGGATTACGGGATTCTAGAATTCCGGGGATAGTCTATCCCGGGCTACGCCGGTCGAAGCTGCTAGTTCGCAATAAATGAAAAATTTTATTACAAAATTCGCCGTACACACTCACGTTCTTTAAGAACATTTCCGAGACCTGTCACTATTTCTGTTAATTTCAGCGCCTGAGCTGTGCGGCGTGGAAAGTAAGAGAGCGCTTATCAGGCCGGGTAAGGTCAAATGGCAGCTGAAGGCGTCTATATATGTATATATTGTCAGCGCCTGCAACTAGGTGCAGCATTGCTGTTTTAAATTTCACGTCAGAGGCTCCAAACTAAATATTCTTTAAGCTTTTTAAAGTAACCTTCAAATCTGTCATCGGTTCATTAAGGAAATTTGTATAAGCCGCCGTTTTTTACGGCTCAAGAAAATAATGAAATAAGTATAAAAATGTCTGCAAGGCCACCCGGTTCCACCTAAGTTTGCTGCACTTAAGTTCGATAAGTGGTGATAGCACTTATAGGCTGCCGCCTGAAATTAATATGAGAGAGGAATAATCTAATTCGTTCTTAACACTCATTCCACAGAACTGGCTGAATTTTTACTCTAGAATGCTGGCATACTAGAATACTAGATTTATCATGCTGGCTGAAATTTTGCTCAAGAAGATTGCTACAATATCGAACCGCGAAACGTGAGGGACTCTGATGCTTGCTTTTTTCACCTTCGCCGAGTTGGTTTAGCTGCATCCACAAATCTCGTTTTCCAGACAAAATATGTGCGAGCGCCTTCGAGATCAGAATTTAGCTTAGGTTAAGTGACTGAGAACATGAAACTTGTACTATGTTCACGTATGTTATTTAACTTATTTTTACCCCAGAAAGATATAATCGTTTGAATTTCTTGCCTTTGACGCAGCTATGTATTTATAGTCGCCAAGCCCCGCCACGCCGTTAACAGCGCAACGTGTCCGTCATCCGAGATCTACCTATACAGCAAGAGGCTTCTGACGTGCGGTCTTCCCGTGAACGCGTGCCAGCAAAATAGTATTCATTTGAAATGTTGATGAAATTTTGAAGAGCAGTTACTGAAGGATCAACAATAGATTGATGATTGATACGGAAAAGATCGTTAATTATTCTTACGATTTTAGTCAGCCCTCGTCTCAGGCATTTTCCTCACTAAAGTCAGGACGTCTGTTGACATACGATAGAAAAATTCAATTTTTGGTGTAGAAAATGTCTATGATTTAAGAAACGAATAATTTCAGTTTCATCCGGCAAAGGAATATTACAATTGCAAATCTAATTAGAATATGTCATAGAATGTATGTTTGCAGTCCAGCACCGCGATATACAGTACCTCATAGGGGCGATTGAGGTGCGTGTCCAGGATACTTCGATTACTATGTCGGGATATATTACCTTGACCTGAAAATTTCAGGCCAAGGTAATTAACCTAAAATAAATCCGTATTCCGGTTGCCCTATAGGAAGACGCATTCAGCTGCCACTTGATCGACCTACACTTGATCTTCATGCACTTGATTCTCCCGCACTGGATCTTCTTGCACTTGATTTTCCTGTACTTGATCCTTCTGCACTTGATCTATCTGCACTTGATCTTAGAGTACTTGAACTTCCAGTACTTCATCTTCCTGCACTTGATATTCCAGCTTTTGATTTTCTTACACTTGATATTCCGGCACCTGATCTTCCTGCACTTGATCTTTCTGCACTTGATCTTCCTGCACTTGTTCTTTCTGCACTTGATCTTCCTGCACTTGATCTTCCTGTACTTGATCTTCCAGCACTTTATCTTCCTGCACTTGATCTTCCTGCACTTGATCTTCCTGCACTTGATCTTCCTGCACTTGATCTTACTGCACTTGATCTTCCTGCACTTGATCTCCCTGAAACCCCCGCCTTCAAGTCCTGTCAATAGCTCTGTTATCAACGTCGCCCTGAGTTGTTATCAGCAGCGCTGTTTCTTCTTATCAGCGCAACGTCTCGAGCTGCGGTGACAGGGCGCTTAAAACCTGAACCTGGGCTGGGGCGTGGCTGTGAAACTGGCGGATGAAACTTGTGAGCTGTGAAACTGGAGGTCAAAAGTGCGAGCTGTGAAATTGTGGCTTAAACGTGTGAGCTGTAAAACTGGCGAGTGAAACGTGCGAGGTGTGTAGCTGGTGGATGAGGCGTAGGAGCTGTGAAGCATGTGGAAGAATCATTCGGGCTGTGAAACTGTCGGATGAGGCGTGCTGCGGATGATAGGGAATGCGTGGTGGATGATTTGTGGTGTGTATTGGATGATGGATGCTGCGCGGTGGATGATGGATGGTGTGCGGTGGATGATGATGGTGCGTGGTGAATGACGGATGATGCTCGGTGGATGATGGATGGTGCGCTGTGGATTAGGGATTGTGTGTGGAGTATGTTGAATGATGCTCGATGGATGATGTATGGTGTGTGGTGGATGATGGATGGGGCGTGGTGGATGATGGATGGTGCGCGGTGGATGATGGATAGTGTGAGGTGGATGATGGATGGTGTAGTGGATGATGGTTGGTGCATGGTGGATAATAATTGGAGCGAGTGGATGATGGATGATGTAGTGGATGATGGATGGTGCGCGGTGTAAGATGAAAGGTGCATGGTGAATGATGGATGGTGATCGGTTTATGATGGATTGTGCGCTGTGGATGATGGACGGTACGCGGTGGATGTAACCCTTGCCCTCACGGATGATGTTATCACCCTCCCCCCTCTCAGCCCCCTGCAGAGGGCAATATCTCCCTTATCTACGCTCCCTGAGCGGCGCGGCGCTGCACGGTGCTGCTTACGAGTCTTGGTAACAAATGTTGGCCTCGACACACCTACTCTATCAAAATTTTTATTCCTGTCAGCCGCTGGATCAAGGACGCAGCAAGCTCCGACGTTTCGACTCGATGTCCGCTTTGGGTTCTGATTGTACGAGGGAAACGAGCACCTGATTAGGATCCGGTCTATTCCTTGTTAACCGTGGGGGCGACTACGGGGCGCGCGTATTTGGTACCTGATACGTTCGGGACAGACACAGCCGAATCCGCAAAATGCGTTAAAAAATGCCCCCTCCTTCCCCTCCATATAATGGGGGGGGGGTAGGGAGGGGCATTTGAATATCTGTACACTATATATACATATATAAATATGTATATAAGAATTTAATATATATGAGTATAATATATATATATATAAGAATGTACGAAATTCTTATATATCTATATATAAGAATTTCGTACAATTACCGGACAAATTGGCAACATTACCGGACATGGGTTAGAAAATCGGACAAAATCGAGTCCGGTTATATACCTTACAATTAGTTTGTACTTAAAAAACAGACAAGAAAATAAATGAACTACACTACCAGACATTCTAAAAAACGCCAACCTCGTTAGGTTAGGGTTAGAGTTAGGGTTAGGTGTGTATAAATCCCTTCTTTACGTTGCTTGACACCTTTCTACTAAGGTTAGGTCCAGCCAGGTTAGGTTCTTCTTACTTTTTTCACAATTTTACTTACGTCACTGGGCCAAAAATAAGCATAGTCCAGAACAAGTATCAAAGAACTGACGACGTTTCCGGCACCAGGACCCGATGAAATTCCGGCAGTGCTGTTGAAGAATTTTGTTGAAGCACTGAAGGCTCTGCCTCGATGACGGAGGGAATTCCTCGAAAGCCTCGATGACGGAGGGAATTATCAATAAGGGCCTCAAAGTGGGACTGATAACGCCAATTCACGAAGGAGGCCCGAGGGACAGACCCTAGACCCCAAAAGTGATCCATCATTTGTACTGATCACATGTGACATTGACCTCACATGTGATCAAGGTTTTTGAGAAGGTAGTGGCCAGGAGGCTTGTCCAGTATAGAGAAGAGGTAGACCTGTATAATCATTGACAACATGGTTTCCGACGAAATCGTTCCTGTTTGTCACAGTTACTGGAGCAATATCACCGCCTGGTGGCTCAGCTGGAGGAAGGAGCTGGCGTGGACGCAGTATACATGGACTTTGCTAAAGCTTTTAACAAAGTTGACCAAGGGGTGTTCTTCAGAAAGCTGAGGCTGTTTGGAGTAGGAGGAAGCTATTATAGTTGATCCACAACTTCCTTACAGATAGAGTACAAGCTGTTGCAATTGGAAACTCGAAATCGAGAAAAGCGAGGGTTAAAAGCGGAGTTCCACAGGGCTCAGTGCTTGGACCGATCCTCTTCCTCGTCCACACTGCCGATATCGACTCGGAGCTTACCCGCGCATCTACATCGTCATTTGCGGACAATATACAAGAGTACTGATGAAGATAGCAGATATCTAGACTGCGAGAGGTTACAGGATGACTTGTCGACAATCTACGATTGGACCCTAGTTAACGATATGCATTTCATTTTCAACGGCACCAAGTTTGAAGTACCGAGATACAAAGTCCGCACAGATACTGGGATTCTACATCGCTACTTGGCATCAGATGACACAGAAATTGAGAAGCAAGAGAGGCTAGGAAACGGACCGCGGCCGTGTACCGTTTAAGAGCGATCCGTCGCGCTTGAAAAGTGGACACTTCGTCGATGTTACGGAGATGATACGCGGGGGCCCCGTCCGTTCGTCTCGACCTTAATCCATTTCTATGCGCCAATGAAAAGCCTTTAATTTCTGACTGGGCTGACAGCGAAACGTCATAACATTTCACCATTCAGTAGCACGTCAGGTCAGCATGACGCTCCAACCTGAACCTAGCGTGTTATAAACAGCAAATAAATAAATAAAATTTTCATCTGTTTTTATTACAGTAATTCGATAGAACCGCAAAACATTTGCATTAAATTTTGCGAACGGAAATATGAGCATGGGTAATTTCACGTTAAAGAGCAATAATGCATGAAGTTTGATATGTCGGATCACCAAATAATTCACACTCTTTACATTTCCCCACCAATGTTGAAGGACTTTCTGAAAAAATTAAACAAAATCAGTTACTCAAGATGGACTCCAAGGGTTGCCTTATGCATTTTTGGCACAAATATTTTATTGTGACATTTACGGAACAGCCTGACTTGTTTAATTAATTGTTACTCGTTCGCGCAGGATGAAGCTGGTCCGTACATTCAGGTGGAGAGCGTGCAAGCTCTTCTGCGCGTGGCTGATATGGTGCTCCGTCTTGTACGCCGCCTTCAGGTACAAGCCGCACTTGTGGTTAGCTATACACCCTTTCTGATTCGGTTATTTTTTTCTTTTTCATCTGTTCATTTCTTCTGTATTTACGCTGTGTTTAATTCTGTTCATATGACCTAAATTAGCTAATCTAGTTATTTTATTAATAATCATATTTCCTCGGGTAATAATAACACGGTTTTCTAGTATATATTAATAATAATAAATCAGTTTTGCTAGTGTATATAGGTGCCTATATCGGGATCATTTTGTTATGAGTTGAGTACGTAGTTAGCTGCTCTCTTATTGCAGAAATTGTTCATGATCGTTGTCTTGATTTACAATTCATCACCTTTGTCGTGGTAGGATCACTCTAAATTACATGATTTGAAAATTAAATTTCATTGTGTTTACTCTGGTTGCCTAAACTAATTACTCTGATTCTAAATAAGCAAGTATTGCTAACAATCGATAGCCGTCGTCACTAAATATTCCGTCCAAAGGTGGTTCATTGTTGAAATTTAGTACAGCCAATGCGATGAAAAGCCTTGAATATAGCTGTAATTCCATTAATTTTGACGATCGATCTACTAAAGCAAATTTCATTTAGTTCGATTTTGACTGACACATTCAATGAAGGTACGTATACTCGCATTTCACTGCAATGAATGTCATAATGATCACCGCATACAAACGAAGATAATTAACGTGATATTGATTAATTCTTTATAAAGAAACCTGGTTTTCGTCATAATATTAGGCATATTCGTTATGTATTAGCTATACTAGACTTTAAAGTAGGGAGTAATGTAGTTGATTCCATTATTTCTATAACGCAACAGTCTCACATGCGACAAATTGGATGCCTTATTTTCTTCTCTCTTATATACACATTGTCAGGATTATTATCCTAACAAATATCCAGTTGCTCACTTAATACAATAAACGCACACAAGTAGGTACAGAACAGAAAATATATAGATAAAAGCCATTCACTTTAGCCTACGGAATTGGAACGATAACAAGTTATTTCAGAAGTGGGGGAAGGGTATGATTGAAATCTCTTCTATTTTCAGCGCCCTTTGCTTTACCGAGGGCGTTCCCAACAATATCATCAAGACAATTCGGCTCTGAGTACACAGCCACCCAATCACATCTAAGCACAATGCAACAATACATATAAACTAATGATGACCTAATACAAAAATGACCTAATTGTCACCGTGAACACAGGACACGTGCCGAAATTACCCATTCAGCCAGCAATGACTTTTATATCAGAACAAAATTTATTCTTGACATAGATATTAAACAGATATTAAATTTTACAGAACTGCTCATTGCTGACGTAATCACCTAGAACAACTTTTTACCTCTGGCCACCAAAACCCACAACTGAGACCTTGACACAAAGAGAAGAAAAATTAATTACCCAACGCAAATGTGCCCACATCGGCCCCTATACTTGCCAACCGTCATTATAGTTAGAACAACATTCCTTCTACAAAGAGTCATACACAACAACCAGGCATTTCATAACATCCACCAGCATACATCACACACACTCTCCAATGAGATTTCCTTAATAATACTCATGTCTACAAACCCAATTGAAGTACACATTCGTTCTTTCTGATACTTCCACCAAGCAAACAAAGAAGCTCAATCAACGCACCCAATACTCACATAACCCGACATCAGAAGAAATTGACGCACATTTATATATAGTGGGACAAAACATGTACGGACTTATTTGAAATGTCAGTTCTCACTATAACATAACTCATAACTCCCGAAATCAAGTCAACCCACAAAACATGCCAATAACATGTCCAATATACGGACACTCTTCAATTGAATATGTATTATAGGTAGTGGATTATATTTTCGGTAGGTGTTTGAGTTGTAGGATTTTGATGCCTTTGGTGACAAGAGTTTTCTGTTTTCAGTGTGCGCGAAGTTCTTAATTTAATGGTTATGCGCCGAAAACCTCCTGGGTGCATTCGGCTAAAGTTTCCACCGTTGTGCAGATGAGTGAGGTGTATGTTGTTGTTTACCTGGTTTGTAAGGTGTGGATATGTTTGGTGTTGTAGTCTTTGTTATCTGTATCATTCTATGTGAAAGTGTCTGGCCACGTACTGCTTGCTTAAGTTGGGTTCTTTCTGTTCAGGTGTGTCGTGTTGCGTATCGTTACGTGTGAGGTTTACAAGGCGTTGGGGCCTAGACTGCGTTTGAAGGGTTGACCAAAATTTTCAAGGGATTTGTTCGTTTTAGAAGTGCTCACGAGATCCTTTTATTTTTGAGTTTGGAGTTGCTTGTAAGATGGGAGTAGTTGGCGTCAATTGATAAGTTGTCTGTCAAGTATTAATGCTAGACCGTGTATGAGAACGTATCGAAGAGTGGCTTGATGTTTAATTGGTTTTTATTCTGTGGGTTTAATGCCGTTGGCTTTATGCCGGGAATATTGCACTGGATTACGGAGGTGATTAAAATTTATGTGGCGTTCTGTACGTGTTTTATCCAGTTGTCGATGTCTGCGTCAATTTCTATTGGTATGGGTCAGGTTGTGAAGATACTGTGTGTATAATGATGGTGTTCTTCTATAACAGGCAGTTTGTTCTATTAACTGATTTGCAGGGACTAATGGATTTTTTTTATGGGATTTTATGAAATGATAGCTATTATTGAAATGTGATCTGATGGTTTAATGGGTCCTGATGCATTAAAATTTCAGTTCTACTCCCATGCATCCCACCGATACCTGGCTATTTGTGCAGGTATTCTCGCACGACGAATTTCGGGCCCTCCTACACAGAGAGTGGTCGGCTTCTGCTGCAGAAAGTCAACACGACAGACGGCTCATCGTCAAAAATCTACAACTTAATTTTGGCAAAGCCCTTGGTTGACAACTCGCCTTCTCTACCCGACTCAGAATATGCCAAGATACTGCAGAGCGAAATTCCTAATTTGCCTATCAGGTACTGGCAGTCACTGAACAACAAATTTCCTGCCAAGAATGCCACATGTGCCATTTTCCCATCGCTCATTGATTTGCAATTTAATAATGTGTACTGGCAAACTTTGAAGACATCAAATGGAACTTTCCACCTCTACGGTGCTTACTACGATAACAGAACTCTTTTGGCTATGGAACCTGTTGTTAGGATGCTTGGTATGATTAATAGAATTGAGCCAACAGTGCAAACAATTTGCCAGTTGTGGTTTGATGGATTGGAGGCTCCTGTTTTTGCAGAGGTTTCTAAGTATCAGCTCGTTTGGGTAAAAGAGTGGGGGAATCACAAAAATGGACTTTTCCAGCCTTACTTGTGGTCTTGCAAAATTCCAGTTGACTATCGCCATCTTGTACCAGAATCAGTGTCACTCGTTGAAAAACCTTGCGACATGGCCGTCACTAACTTGATGGTAATTAACAACTTGCCTGAAGGCGGAAAAAAAGGTGAATTTGCGGTGTGCGTGAAGGGCCTTGATTTCCCGAAAGAAGATTTAAGTGTGAGACTCGTGGAGTGGTTCGAGACGCTGCGCCACCTCGGTGCCGAGAAAATATTTCTCTATGAACTGGAAGTTCATCCGAACATCACAAAAGTTTTGAATTACTACAAGAAATTGGGTTTGGTGGAGGTGACATCGATCACTCTACCGGGCTATCAACCTAACATCAAGGGAATTAGGCACATGTACTTGATGAAACGAATCACTAATAAATATCAAAACGAGTTAATTCCATACAATGACTGTCTGTATAAAAACATGAACAAGTTCAAGTTCATAGCTCTGCTTGACATTGACGAAATTATCATGCCAAAGGGAAGCAATATGCTATGGAAAGATCTAATGGAAAAAATAAAAGAAACGGCACAAGGACAAAACATCGAATATTCATCATACGACTTCCGCAATGTCTACTTTTTTGACACGCTGAAATCGAGAAACGCAGATCACGCACGCCCCAACGACATACCTCACTACATGCACATGTTTCAACACGTTTACCGAGCGATGAACCACACGCCACCTGGCCATTATATCAAGTGTTTTCATAATACAGAACGGGTGATGACTTTACATAACCATTATCCACTTGCTTGTATAGGTGGCGGTTGCTTATCTTACTCTGTTGACACCGACGACGCGCAACTTCAACACTACCGAGCGGACTGCGTAGCAGAACTCATGAGTAAGTGCGACGGTTTCAAGAATTTCAACGTGCGCGACGATGCGATCTTGAGGCACAAAGTCCCTATCATATCCAGAGTTATCGACAGCCTCAGTACTTTGGGGTTCTTCTAGTCAGAGGTTCATTCTATTTTAAGAACGGTTGCACCTATTCGCATAATATTGAATGCAAAGCACCATTTTGAGCACTTATGAACCTTCTGAATTTGTATCTCCATCTGAAACGAGTTTTTTCGCTATTGCTTTAGCTTTGTTTTTCAATTCAGTTTGTGGGGGGTGCGGGTTAAAAGCTTGAAATATCAGTGTCGATTGCTTGGTTTGCATTCTCGTTGTTCACCAAAATTTCCCTGCAGGTCTAGGGTTGGGTTTTTGCGTAACCAGCGGATGCGCTTTATTGCACAGTCAACATGGGGCCCAGGTGTACGGCTCAGTAGTGGCCTTACAGCTGCCATTAAGCTAAACCTCATCTTTAACCTATTCAGCCACTATAGGCATTCAGCTTTTACCGGGAATGGTTGTGTAGAGAATTGCGTTATGTTAATATCATATAACCAACGAGTGATATCTAGTGTTATTTTGGGGGGCTTAAATACTGATATGAAACTACTAAAATGTCAGGATGAAATAGTGCACATTGAGAATTGCCGGGTATTTATATTGTGAGGCCTTATCCTCGATTCCTGCTTCTAATTTCAGGTGTTAGATGAAATCGAAATCACTGATTAACTAGTGAAATTAACTCGTGAATTAACTCGACATATGTTGGGGCATAATGAGCTGAGATTTGGACTACACCAAGACATGCTGTCCTCTTAACGTTCCACTACATTCCACTACCTTCTTCTCGTATAAGATAAAGTAGCAACCTCAACCAGAGTGACACTGCCAACCTCAACCAGAGTGACACTGCCAACCTCAACCAGAGTGACACTACCAACCTCAACCAGAGTGACACTACCAACCGCTACCAGAGTGATGCTACCAACCTCAACCAGAGTGATACTACCAACTGCTACCAGAGCGAAACTACCAACCCCTACCAGAGTGATACTACTAACCTCTACCAGAGTGACACTGCCAACCTCAACCAAAGTGATACTACCAACCTCAACCAGAGTGATGCTACCAACCTCAACCAGAGTGATAGCCTACTTCCAACCTCAACCAGAGTGATGTTGCCAACCTCAACTAGAGTGATGCTGCCAACCTCAACCAGAGTGATACTGCCACCTCTACCAGAGTGATACTGCCAACTTCAACCAGAGTGATACTGCCACTTCAACCAGAGTGATACTGCCAACTTCAACCAGAGTGATACTGCCAAAGATCCGCAGTCAGATTTCAATCCCTGCGGGAAGGTTCACTTTCCGTGGCAGGACCAAGGCTGTTCAACGCCCTACCAAGGGATCTAAGAGAGGGGGGGTTCACCTTGGAGACCTTTAATAGACAACTAGACGTGTTCCTGAGCACAATCCCAGATCGACCTCCCCTGCAACACTACCAGCGGCGAGAAGCAAGCAACAGCATCGTGCATCAGGTGGCCCAAATGAGGGCAGATGAACGATAATCAGAGGCGGTGATCCATCGTGGCCTGGGACTTCTATGTCCCAAACAAATACTAAGGATACTATGGATACTAAGGATACCAACGTTAACCAGACATGAACTTCCAGCCTCACTTCAACTACAGTGTGGCTTTCGATCGCAACGACACTTATGCTCTCTATTTGATGACATTTTTCGAAGCATTTCATCAGTTAATTACTTTAAAATACACGTAGCTTGTTCCGATGAGTTCATTAGTATATTATTCTTATTTGTGTTATTTTAAAAAATTGTTTGGCAGGCACTACGTGAAATAAAATTTTAAGTTTTTTGAGGTAATCGAAGACTTTATAAAGTGAAATTTTTATGTTATTGGTTTATGTATTTATGTATTGTGTATTTTCATGTATGTATTTATGTATTGTGTATCTTCATCAGCGCTAAGACCGCCAGTTTTTCACCGCCAGTTTTTGCAGCCTCATGCTGGCTCTGCTGTATGGTATAGTTCGGAAGTAATAGTGAGATAAGTTGGACAATGGACACTCTACTAGTGCTACCGCTGCGTCGAACCATTGCAGAGCAAATAAATCAAGCGCGAATCAAATTAATGCTAGAGTTATTTTGTAGCGATGCGTTTTTCAAATCACGTCACGAGAAGTACGAATAGTCCCGAATCATGTCAAAAGTCTGCAGAGTCTCACATGTATTTTAGTGGGTTGTGTGTGCACATTGGTGTGCGTGCACATACGTTTTTGGACTACAAATTGAAGATCTTATTGTGTGATTTGTAATTTTAAGCGTCTGCTGGGTCAATTTTACATTAATTGTTTTATCTCACTTCCAGAGCGTTTCTGAAATCTTAATTTACTGAATTATCTATAGAAATGCTATTGCGTTAAAACTTTCCACACCTACAAAGACACAAAGCTTCAATTTGACACGCTCTTGGACGTCTTCCGCCACAATGTACGTGATGCTTCGCAAGACGAAAGAGTCGGTATTGGGACTTCTGCGGCGTCCGTGTAGCGGCAAGCATCTTGTTGCTCTAATAGGGGCGGCTGCACTTCTCATTTGGCTCGTGTTTTTGGTGGCTGGAGATTATCCAACATTGAGGTATAGATCAGAACCTAATGTACTGTACTTGGAGGAAGTTCCTGATGATGACGAAAATGGGACCAGGGGGATCGATGGTCTAGATAAGCCGGAACTTAAGATCAATCCAAAAACAAAATTAGATGTGGATGCCGATAGAGAAAATAACGACGCTGACTACAACTGGAGGAACCTTACCCCAGCCGAGATCAGTCGTTTGTCAGTACTCGGTCGGCGCATGTTCTTGAACGAAAATATTGGCGCTAAACAAGATAGAATTTTCACGATCCATATCTGGAATCATAAAAAATTTTCAGGTGAACTTGATGAACGATTTTTCAAAACAGGCTCTTCTAAGAAATTTGATCCATTTGAAGATTGTTCTGTGAATAACTGCAAAGTAACATCACCAGATGGTGACATCATGGCGGCCGACATCGTGCTTTTCCACATGCACCTTATCCCAGGTCCCCCAGTTAACGTACCAAGAGCCCCCGGACAGCTCTGGGCGTGGTTGGCTGACGAAAGTCCCTATCACGTAATGATGGTGTCGAGTGACCGCAACCTAAGCCATTTCAACGGGTTTTTCAACTGGTCGATGACCTACCGAATGGACTCAAGTGTGCCAACACCATACGGACGAACTGTTGCCCTGCCTAAAGAAAAGTATGTAGAGGCAATAGAAGATTTTTATAAATTGAAGACGAAAAATGTATCCTTGATGGGCTCTAATTGCGGAGGCAGTAACGGACGGTACAAGTACTTGGCCGAATTGCAGAAATACATCGAGATTGACGTGTACGGCGGGTGTGGGCCGCTCAAATGCGAGGGACATTTTTACACAAACTGCGACAAGTTGGACGATTATAAGTTCTACTTGGCGTTCGAAAACTCAAACTGCGACGACTACGTGACAGAGAAGGTGAGTTTTCGCTATTTTAAGTGATTCTTCTCGTATATCTTGGCTTACTGCATCACGCAAAACAATGAATGCTTCTTGTCGAACAAATAGTGTCACATTTTTTCCGCACTCACTCTTTGCTGGGCAAAATAGGTCAGGATGACCGACACAAAATCAAAGGAAGCGTAGCTTTTTGGACAATGTCTCACTCATTTCTGTGGGTGTGGAATGTGGCACGGCACTACACGATATGACACGACAAAGGAAAACTCCACACTGTTCATTGAGTGTTCGACGTTATTTTGCAGGCTTTCTTTTTATGATCTGATTCCTATTTTATTTATGATTCGTTTCGATCTAATGGTTTACTACATGAATGGCTCAAAGAGTTAATTGATGTTTTAATTGAGGGCAGGTTTGGTGGAACGCATTGAACAAGTCTGCTGTACCTGTGGTGATGGGGGCGCCTAAGCACAATTATCAGAAGCTGCTGCCCCCGAACTCTTTTATTCACGTCGATGACTTCAAAGGCCCCGAACACCTGGCACAACACCTACAGTAAGTGCATTTCTAGTTATAGATATTCTTCCTCATGTGAAAGTTATTTTTTTTAATTATAATACGTTATATTTGGAAATACTGAACGATTTTCACGGACAGCTCCATTTGAAGGAGCGCTTAGCGTTTCTTCAGGAGGACAGTCGTTAGTCGTGAACTTATGGCCTAAATGCAAGCTTGACGCCAGCGCAGGATTTGATGGAGGATCGCTTCAGGATATTACGTTGAATCGCTAACTCAAATTGATCAGTTCATCTCCATAAGCAAATTTTAGAGTTAGTTTATTTTACCTTCAATTGTATTACCACAGCTTGCTAGAAAAATTAGACGAATTAATCATGTAAATGCTTACCTACATATATTCAGTAATGAAACGCATCTGCAGTTATTATTGGACGCGACATCTAATTTACTAGTCAAATCCATTAGTTTAGTTGCAAATAAGGTAAAGAAAGGACCTAAAACATTGTCATGTAAAATTTATAGACATGACTGAAACATTTTCATTATCACCTGACCAGAAATTGGTATTTTAGAGCGCCGCTCAGTCTATCCTTGCGGAGTTCGTGAAATCTGCAACATTGGGTTAAAAGTCGAATGGAATAAATATAATCTACCAATTATCAATGATATAGTTGATTGGTGGATTCGAGAGTATGTTCCTGGTTAGATGCTTGTGTACATACACTGTATGTTTGATGAAGTTAGCTGGATCTGTAGGCGGGGGTAAGACGTTAAGTATTGAGAGATAGTAGCTGTATATGGAGTGCAGATGCGAGGAATTGGGTGCCTTTCATATCTAGGTGATCTTCTAGAAAGAAGACTTTGGTTTCTGCGTGAATGTGGCTGGATGGTGAGGTTTGGGTGCTTCCAAGTTCAGCTCTAAGTCTTGTCTTTTGTATGGTTTGTAGGTGGCTGTGAAGTGTGGGAGAGATTATGGATGCCCATGCTGGGCTGGCATAGCCCTTCACTGAGTGTATATATTGTTTGTACACTAGTGTGATGGTTTCTTGGCTCTGTCCGAATGTTGTTCCTGTGAGGGCTCTTAGTGTGTTTAGCCTGGGTCTGCATTGTGTTTTGATATTCTGTATTTATGGTCCGAAAGACATGAAAGTGTTGTAAGTGACACCTAGAACCTTGGTTTCATGTGTGTGTGAAATGATGGAGTTGTTTAGAGTGACTGTGGATCTGTGTTGATGCTTCTTTGTGTGGCTTGTCAGTATAGTGTACTTGTTGATTTAGTACTTTAGCTACTTTGAATCTGTTGCGTGCTAGCCAGGGAAAGCTATTTTGATTTTTTGTCCCCGATCATCGTGCTAGTCTGGGAAAATTTAATTCATAAGTCGCGGACTGACGATATCTGTAATTTGCTTCTCTATGATTAGTTTCCGAAGCTAAAACTCGTCTAAAATTATTGAAGAGAGACCTGCTGTGGAGTTTCTTTTTCGAGCCACGGTGAGCTTCGACAATGTTGTTTTTTCATCTGCAGGGCTATGCCAGTGCGCAACAGGTCTCACACATATTTACTGCCGGACTCGCGGCCGGCCTCGTGGCCAATCTCCAAATTGAATGACCTAGTAATATCTCCCGAACTAATTACCGCAGATCGATGGAACCTGGTACACGTATTCATTACAACCTAACGGTGATGTTTGGCCCGTGCAAATTTTTTCCATTTCACCTTCATTTGTGAATTATTCGGCAATTCGAGCCGAAATTTGCAGTGACCAAGAAATTTCTCTAAAACTGCAGACCATATTTGAACGAAACTTTGTATAAAAATTCCTAACCTCCCAACGGTGATGTTTAGCTCGAGACAATTTTCTTGATATTACCTTCGTTTGCGATTTTTTTTTCATTTCAACTTCATTCGTGAGATATACAGCAAAACGGGCCAAATTAAATTGGAAGTGACCTAGAAATTTCTTCCAAACTTTAGAACAGATTTGAACAAAACTTTGAGTATTTATTCCTACGTAACACCCTAACGGTGATGTTTAGCTCGTGACAATTTTTTCTATTTATCCTTCATTCGCGAGTTATACGGATACACGTAGAAATGGCAGGCATTTCTGAAACCGATTTTCAAATTTGCGTCGAGTGTGCAAACGCACCGTATAACTAGCAAACGAAGGCAAAATCGAAAAAAATTGTCACGAGCTAAACATCACCGTTGGGTGGTTAGAAATGTATAATCAATAATTCGTTCAATCCTGTTCAGTAGTTTACGGGGGTCCGCCATATTTATGGCACCGCATGTTTTTTTATTGGATGAGCTAGTAGCCAAGAATTACCTAAACAATTCTCAGACATATTTATTCAATATGACCACCCTTATTTTTAATGACGGCCTCCATTCTACGCGGGAAAGTTTCACAGGAGACACGCAGCATTTCTTGAGGGATCAAGTCCCATTCTCGTGTCAATTTAGACATTTTTTTCATTTTATTGTTTTTTTACAATTTTGCTAATGAAGGCTGGTATGTGACCCTGAATCCAGTTTTGGGTTAAGTTTGAGCCATGCGATGGGGCAGAGTCTTGTTGAAAACTTCATGGTGAGCCGTTGAAGTGTTTACGGGGCGTAGGTAGCAACACAGCTTCCAAAATGTCCGAAATGTATCGCTGAATGTTCAATTTCATTCCTGAGAGGACAAAAACGAGTGGAGACCTCCCAGTGGCGGTTACCGCGGCCCAAACCATCACGGACATGGGATTTTGACGTCGTGTTGCTTGCTGTTCTGGTTGCCACAGATCCATCCCAACTCCAAACTGTCATTTTGACGGTTAACGCTTTGTTTAATATCAAATTTTTTCTCGTCACTGAACATCAAGTTGGGCAGCGTGCCATCCTCAATGAGATCCAGAATGTGCTGGCATCTTTCGAGCCTCAAAATACTGACGTGAAATAAATATCATAACTGGCACCAGAAATTGACCCAAAATAACGTACTATGCGAATGAACTAGATGAAGAAGTTCATTCTCCCGCCACTAGCTGTTTCCAACCCCTACCCCTCCTCCCTCTCTCAAAACCCCCCCATGCACGGCCTGCTTAGCTGCTCTGTCAGCTCCCTGCCGGGCAATCCAAGTACCAGCGCTGCAACAGCGCAGAGTTCCGGCCCTGCCGAGCTGTATAGAATTTTGTCTATATATTAGCCATGGCGCAGCGCCGTTTTAGGGATAGATGGCCGGTTATAGTTTCACGGCTGCATCCTGCTAAAGCGCGACCAGCCCGGCTAAACCCGGCGCCGGTCTCGGCTCAAAATTTTAACTGGGTTCGTTTCTTTCCTTGACCAGGTCGATTGCATGTTTCACCAGTTTCCTTGAATTTTTTTACAACCTTCCACACAGTTTCAAGACTAATCTGGAGCTTTTTGCAATGACTTAATTACTCTCGCCCTTTTCATGAAGGGTTACATTTGCATTTCTATCTGCTGCCATAAGTAATAGTAAATTTAGACTTCTGCAATATAAAACTTAGACTTAGACTTAGACCTTAGACTTCTGCAATATAAAATATATGAATTAATTGATGATATTAGACTTCATTATAGAAAAAAAGTCTCCTAGAAACCACTTTTTTATATAGCAAACATCCGTTGCCATATATATGGCAGACCCTGTAGAAGAAATTTCTTGGTCACTGCAAGCTTCGGCCCAAATTACCGTATAATTCACGAATAAAGGTGAAATTGAAACAATTTTTACGAGCTAAACATCACCGTGAGGTCCTAATGAATACGTGTACCAAGTTTCATCGAGCTGCGTTCATCAGTTTTAAAAATATTCCTTAGTCACTAAATTTGGATATTGTCCGAGAGACCGGCCGCGATTCCGGCCGCTAGCCCGGCCGTAAATTTGTCCGACACATGTACGCGCAACCAGTATGTTAGTCGCTCACCAAGTTCACCAATGCATTTCAATATGAAAAATTTCGCAGTTCAGTACGGAACAAAACACCAATTGAACCCTCTTTCCTATCAACGTTAGTTGAACGAAAGTATGTGACATCTTTCAATGGCGTACTCAGTCTAGACTTCCGCTTCACCTCTCTTATCCGATGGTTGCTATACTTTGTGTTTTCATTTCAGGTACCTTTTAGACCATCCTGCCGAGTACCAGAAGTACCACTTCTGGAGGAGACGGTACCGGGTACTCAACGAGCACGGGTTCTTCCAGTCTCCCGTGTACCACATGTGCAGACTCTGCGAGGCTCTCAACTACAACGATAAGACTGACCAGCGAGCCGACTTGGAGCATTTCTTCGACAGCAGCGAGCACTGTTACGCTGTAAAGAAAAGAGATTAAATAATATTTGGAGCCATCCTTCGACAGTAACGAGCACTGTTACGCTGTGCAGAAAAGTGATTAAAACTCCAACATTGAGAGTAATCTCTTTCGTGCTTAGTCGTTTTTCGGGAATAATAATATTTAAACCGTGTTTCATTGTATATATTAATTGTTGGATAAAACTGCGTCCCATGCTCGGTTTCTTCTTAAGCCCCGTCCACACGCTCAAACTTATCGTCAGTCTTGATTTGACGACAAGACGGAGCGTGTGGACGCTCAAAGTTTGACGTTTTGTATGACGGGTGGGCGGAGTTTGAGGTTTGACAAACCTGGAAAAGACGGACGTGCGAGACCATTGGGCTCATGCAAGATTGACGATAAGTTTGAGCGTGTGGACGGGCGATCGATTAGTTGGTCAAACTTTTACTCTATCTCAGTCTATATTGATGTTGAGAACTGTGACATTGTTCCTCGCTAGCTTTAGTTTTTCATATCCGAGGACAGGATATCCGACACTGGTTTCACGATTTCTTTTGGCGAGTTTATCGAGTTATATCGTAGCTTCCCATGTTTATGGTAAATTCAATCAAAAAGCAACAGTGACATGAACAAGAGAGCACTGGACTATGCGGCATTTATTGCTAAGTAAAAAGAAGTTGATCATACAGCAAACAAAGGCTTTTTAACGAAGAAAATAAACTCTTTATCGAAAATAATGTTGGAGAGGATTCATGTGCCCAGTCTATTTCTGGAGGATTAAAGTCACCAACGATTAACGTATGCGACCTGCTGAAAGTCATGATTGGTAGAAGACTGTTCAGCACTATCAGGGGAACTTTTGGGTGATCTATACTGGACACCTATAAGGAGGCTATCCCTGCTTTTTAAAGAAAGCTCACACCACACTGATTCTCTAGCTGATTGGTGCTCTGCTGATAACTTAACTTGTTGGGCCCCATAAAAGGTTCTAACCCACAGACCTACACCTCTACTACACTGCTCTTCTTTTAAATTATGAAAGCAATCACAACCTGGCAACTGAAATTCAACTGGTAAAATTTTCCCCCCGTGATTTTTGGGGAGTGTCTCTGTAATACAAATAATGTCTATACACTCGTTTCCGATCACAGTTAACAGTTCATTTCTTTTGTTCAAAACGGAATCAGAGTTCGTGTAGAAACATTTCAAAACTTTTTGTGCACTTCCATCTTGATGTATGAATAAACTTTTTACCTTATTTACAGAACTGAATTATATACATGATTTCCACTATTTAATTATCATGTGAACCACGAGCCGAACAGGAAGATGAGACCACCATTTAACTGATAGTCTGGTCATCTTATGAATTTGTACTGTCGGTGCCGATAACGGTTAATTAAAACGATACGATGATGGCAGAACAGGCTGGCATGTTTACTTGTTCTTTAATTGATGTATAATTGGTCAGATCGTTACTTGTTTTCGCAGACCAGGGCTGATGGGGAATTTAGGTTATAGTGTTTCACGTATTAATAATCTTATTGCGTCGTAATATCCTATGGAATTGATGCTTACGGTTCCTACGCTCACGTGTGCTTTGATGGCCGTGATCGGAAAATCACCTTTAATGATCAATTTAATGATCAAGCCATGCTTGGATTTCATCACATCAGCATTTGATTTCGCTTGAAATTATTTGATTGAATGTCATTTTTCCAAGTAAAACAACAAGCTGACTTTGTAGTTCAGCTCACTAATACAGGCAGCCCTCGGTATTTTTTTAAACAATATACACAATCTAACATGAACTGTTTGACTAACATGCTGAAAGAAGTAATGATCATAAGTTAAAAATTTTCACCAGATGACATAACAAGGACAAAATTTTCTGTCGACGAATTGTTCAAAATTGGTAAAATGTATTATCCAATTACGTCATTGTTTAAATACTTACCGTTGGTCTCGTGTTAGGAGGCGAAGTCGACGCTCATTAGCTCGATCGTAATTATTATTCCCTTAACCTTGCCTCTATTTTGACCTCCTGTTTAAATAGTGTTAACCGTTTTACCACCCTCGGCTAATCTTGTATTTCTTTAGCTTGATTTGATTTTGTGTTTCAATTTTGATATGTTCAATTAAATTGCATGTTCGCGCTTCTGTGTTCGTTCGTTTAGGCCTTTATTATACTGGACCCACGCCAGTGGTTGAACACCGTTGGGTTTGTGTAGCTCCATGTAGCTTCTCGTGAATTAATTAATTAATTACATTAACTTAACTTTTAGCCTTAGAGTTTGGCTTCGCCGGCTTGCTTGCCCTTATTCGACACCTGTAATTACGAACGACCACACCTTGCTTTATTTTCACTATTTGCCTTCTTATAGCTCTCAATGAGAACTCTTGTGTAGTGTTCCTAAACGGAAACTAATAGGTTTAGTTATTTTGATTATTGAGATAGTGTTATCCATGTTTTGATTTTATTTGTACATCATACTAGAATCCAATGCGTTATCACTCAGAATAGGTATTCTTAGGTTCAAACTGTTTATCTGTCTCATTCAGATAGGAATCAATCCAACCACCTCTACTTTCCAATTATTGGTCGTCAACCCTGCCGCTCCTGATTATTTTGCCTGCTGCTGACCTTTAATCATTACGTTCTGTTGCCACCGGCAAAATGGTGCCGACGACACAAAAGTTTATAATTCAGTGAAGAGTGCGTCAAATAAAGCGCAATTGCAAGGTGATCTTGAAATGTATGCCGACGACACAAAAGTTTATAATTCAGTGCAGAATGCGTCAAATAAATCGCAATTGCAAGATGATCTTGACAGCTTAGTTAACTGGGCTGATACGTGGCAGCTGCGGTTTAATGCTGACAAGTGTAAAGTACTTCACCTCGGGAAGAACAATGAACAGCAAGATTACAGTATGAGAAGACATGGTTGCAACGAGAGAGTAATGATTGAAAAGTCTAGTGTGGAAAAAGATTTCGGAGTTTATGTCGACAAGGAGCTGAAATTTTCTAAGCATGTTGAAACGCAAGCTAACACATCCAACAAACTTCTTGGACTAATCAGACGCTCATACGAGTTCCTAGATGCAGAAACGATGAAGCAGTTGTTTGTTGCCGTCGTACGCCCGAAACTAGAGCTTGGAAACGTTGTGTGGTCACCGAGATTTGAAAAGGACAGAAATTTAATAGAGAATGTTCAAAGACGTGCAACAAGGATAACTCCAGGCTTGAAGGGCAAGTCCTACGAAGAAAGATTGAAGATTATGAAGCTTCCAAGCCTTAGTTATCGACGTCTGCGTGGGGACCTCATTGAAGTATACAAGTATACTCATGGTCTATACAAGGTCCTTGAAGGGTTACTAGAATTTGAAACAAGAACCAACACCAGGGGCCACGGCTATAAGCTAAAAAAACTGCGCTGCAACTTCTCCACGCGACAAAATTTTTTCTCGCTTCGAATCACCGACATGTGGAACAGCCTCCCCAATGACATCGTTGGCGCTCCAAGTATGAAAGCGTTCAAGAACTGACTAGATAAAGCCATGGAAAAATATATGTTCAGATTTGAAATGCCTAGCTCCTTATCGAACCCGGTGGAAGTCTAGTAGCTACTTCAAACTATCGCCAGTCATGAAAAGATCCGGTCAAATGACACGAGTTTAGATCTATGAACAAGGCACGAAAAGGAAAAGAATCGGCGACAGGCCACATCAGGCCTACACTTTAGCGCCGACATCACTATGTTATGTTATGTTATGGTGAGAATTGGAGAAAGAGACTTCCAAACGTGGAACAGTGACTCATTCATTTGAATTCAAATAATGTGTTTTTGACTTCTAATTTTCCTCACTACATGCACATGTTTCAACACGTTTACCGAGCGATGAACCACACAAAACCTGGACATTATATCAAGTGTTTCCATAATACAGAGCGGGTGATGACTTTACATAACCATTATCCACTTGCTTGTATAGGTGGCGGTTGCTTATCTTACTCTGTTGACACCGACGACGCGCAACTCCAACACTACCGAGCGGACTGCGTAGCCGAACTCATGAGTAAGTGCGACGGTTTCAAGAATTTCAAAGTGCGCGACGATGCGATCTTGAGGCACAAAGACCCTATCATATCCAGAGTTATCGACAGCCTCAGTACTTTGGGGTTCTTCTAGTCAGAGGTTCATTATATTTTAAGAACGGTTGCACCTCTTCGCACAATGATTATTTCAGATAATAAATATTAGAATTCTCCAAAATCTTAATTGAATGCAATGCGCAATTTTGAGAAATTATGAACCTTCTGAATTGTGAGCTCCGTCTAAAGCGAGTCTTTCCGTCATTGTTTTAGTTTTGAAGGTACATAAAATGATCGGTATTTTTTAAGGATTTATTATTGTTTTTATTGAAGAAAAGTGGTTACCCCGATGGCTCGAGGAAAGGCTCCACATCATAAAATAACGTATACCTACATTTTAATACATATTAACCGGTTTCTAATAATTATGTACGTAGCAATGATATGCTGTTATATAATGATACAAAGAAATTAGAAGCGATGAAATATTTTGAAAATTATCCACTGAACACCCTTTTCATTTCAAATAATTATAAAGTTACGCAGTGACACGCATTTACGCAGCAAAGTGCAATGTCTTTGTGTCTAAAAGTAATTTAACCATTTTTGCCACCTCATACAGAATTATTCATGTATGTTTCTAATCGCAATCCTTGTTTGAACAACGCCCATGCTCTATATAAGATCAAAATTGTAAAGGTATCGTTATTCGCTTTATCCTCTTCTTAGATTTATAAATTTGGTCACATCAACCAATTATACTTGCATTTCCTAATTTCGTAATAATGAGTACGAACGAACTGAAAAGTTTTCGATGAAAATATGCTAAATTTTCTTAGCGATTTCTCAGTTCCTATAGATTGATAAATATGCGACTGATTACGATCAATACAGAATTTTGCTGAATTACTGCAATTACAAATAATTACACAACAGTCATAACTGAAAAAAACAGTATATTATAATCATTCATGTTAATTTTAATACTGATAGTGGTAAGTCAGCTTAGAGATTAAGCTGAAAATTGTGAGACCGTTTGCAATTCTCATGAGCGCAAGTAGTTGATAAAGAGATTTATGTGAAAAATTTCAAGGCGTTCCTTTTGATTTCTGACAAATTGACCTCCTGTGTAT